GTTTAGATTTAGGTTAAGGTTAGGTTTAGATTTAGTTTAAGATTAGATTTAGGTTTTTGACGATGTGGTACGTAATCTGTACGAATAAAATACGTCGAATCTACGTTGTAGATTGTCGTGTACGAATTTGTAGATTGGTATTGTACATGTACGAATTTACATCTTCAATTGGATATAATTTAGTGGTTTTTTTTTTTTCAATACGCCCCAGCAGGAGGTTTACAGGCGTTAATTTTCTTTTTTTAATTATTCTTTTTATACAACAAAAATTCAAACAAATAACGGCCAAAAGATGATTTTTCCCAGTACATACACAGAAATTACATTATGCATTCAGATTGACTTTCACGCGATACAACAAATCGCAACAAGTCGCGCAAGGTAGCGCACTACGAGCGATCGTAGCAAGAAAATATTTAGAAACGATGTAAAAAGAACCAGTCGAGCCTAGTCTAGAAATATTCTGAAACGTCTGAAATTTACAAATGTGTTTTATTTTCCGCGAAAGATTTAATTTAATTCCTTGCGTTGGCAACTGGTTCATGGACCATAACGAGTGACCAAGCTGCATATACAAATAACTCGTCGGTATGATATCATTGGATAAAAATTATTACCAAGAAATAATAAATTATTACCAAGAAATAATAAATTTATTACTTTTGCCTAAGTTATACTTAAATATATTTAAAACTGAGAAAATATTGCAACTTTTGGAACAAAGAAGTCTCGACGTGCGTGGCACGTCATTCTAGCGCAAGAGGTTAACCCCTAACTGAATTGCGGACCATAACGAGTGACCAAACCGTGTACAATTCGTCGCTTTCTTTTTGAACTCATTGGAATGATATCATTGAGATAGAAATGACTAAGAATAATAATATAATAAATAATAATAAAAATAAATTTATTATTTGTTTTACCTGGATTATATTTAAATATATTTAAAACTGAGAAAATATTGCAACCTTGGGACAGAAAGGTTCTCGACATGCGTAGCACGTCATTCTAGCGCAAGAGGTTAACCCTTAACTGAATTGCGGACCATAACGAGTGACCAAACCGTGTACAATTCGTCGCTTTCTTTTTGAACTCATTGGAATGATATCATTGAGATAGAAATGACTAAGAATAATAATATAATAAATAATAATAAAAATAAATTTATTATTTGTTTTACCTGGATTATATTTAAATATACTTAAAACTGAGAAAATATTGCAACTTTTGGGACAAAGAAGTCTCGACGTGCGTGGCACGTCATTCTAGCGCAAGAGGTTAACCCCTTGCGCTGGCAACTGATTTGCGGACCATAACGAGTGACCAAACCGTGTAATATCACTGGATAGAAATGACGAAGAATCTAAGAGGTTAATAGGCGGGGAATCTTTTTGTTTTGTCTGTTGTAGGCACCAAAGCCAGCAGCAGCTTGGAGTGGAATACGATCGGCTAAAGAAGACGCCGAGATATGTACTCAAAGAAACATCTACACTCACGACGATGAGATCGTTGGCGGCGAGGATTGTCTTTATCTGAACGTCTATACGCCGAAATTGCCCACCGAAGGTGACAGATTGAAGGGAGGATATCCGGTTATGATTTGGCTGCATGGCGGTGGATGGGTCTGCGGCGCTGGTCACTCGGAATTTTATCACCCGAAATTCTTACTAGACCACGATGTGGTTCTCGTTACCGTGAACTACAGGTTCGGAAAACTATGATGTTCAACCGATATCGAAATACTTAATACTTAGTTATCGACCTTTCGACAGGCTCGGGCCACTGGGATTCCTGAGCACGGAGGACACAACGTGTCCGGGAAATAACGGGTTAAAGGACCAAACAATGTCTTTTCGATGGGTGCACGAAAATATAGCCGCCTTTGGCGGTGATCCAAATCGCGTGACCATTTTCGGGGAGAGCGCGGGCGGCGCCAGCGTTCATTATCACATGATGAGCGATTTGTCAAAAGGTGAGTAAATTTTCCTAGTTGAACTCTGCGAAACACTTGCACATTTATTGCAAGCCCGTCCGGATGGAAGAGTAGAAAAGATCGTAGAAGTTGCACAATGGAAAAATATACAAAAAGAGCATGAGAAGTGATAAACTTTCTCATGCCTCGGAACCTGCGTTACGCCATACATGGCATAACTCATCATTGAACAAGCGTGGAATTAAAATTGAATTGAATTGAAGAGCAAAGTTTCATAACAGATAGTATCACATAATAGATGATTAAGCACATAATTTGAATGAATTATCGCGTTCGAGATCAGCTTGTTAGTAGGAAAGGGAAACACGTAGATCTGGAAATGACCGCTCAAGGTCAAGAAAAAAAAAAAAGAAAAAAAGAATCTCATCACACGTTCTCGTAAAATAATCTCAGTATCCGCGAAATTTCACGGTCGTCAGTTAACAATCTGTTCTCGTTAAGAAACATATTGCATAATTTCTGATTTTCATACGTAATTCGACAAAAGGATTATTCCACCGTGCGATCTCGCAAAGCGGCACCGGCCATTGTCCTTGGGCCCTGACGAGACCAGGCTCGGCGAGAAGAAAGGCCGCGAAGATGGGCGAACTTTTGGATTGTCCTTCGAAAAACTCGAAACAGCTCTTGGACTGTCTGCGCACCAGAGACTCTGTCGACATTATCGCAACCGACCGTTCTTTCCAAGTAAGTGCAATTATCCTTGCCTTTCGTTACTCTTGAAAGTCCGAGAACGATAGATTATGTAGAGAGTATAGAGAAGAAATTCAATGTTTCTGATATTGATAATTCAAAATTAATATGAAAATTAAAATGAGCATAGAGTGTAGAGATAATGAGTATAGAGAGTAATACAAAATTAATATGATGAATTAAGGGAAATGAGAATTAAAACAAGTATAAAGAAGAAATTCAAAATTTCTGATATGATGACTTAAGGAAGAATGAAAATTAAAGTGAGTATAGAGAAGAAGAAAATTAAAATTAGTATAGAGAATTAATTCAAAATTTATATGATCAATTAAGGGAAATGAAAATTAAAATAAGTATAGAAAAGATAAATAAGTGTAGAGAAGAAATTCAAAATTTCGGAGATTGATAATTCAAAATTAATATGATGAATTAAGGAAGAATGGAAATTAAAATGAGTATAGAGAATTAATTCAAAATTAATATGATGAATTAAGGGAAATGAAAATTAAAATAAGTATAGAAAAGATAAATAAGTGTAGAGAAGAAATTCAAAATTTCTGAGATTGATAATTCAAAATTAATATGATGAATTAAGGGAAATGAAAATTAAAATAAGTATAGAAAAGATAAATAAGTGTAGAGAAGAAATTCAAAATTTCTGAGATTGATAATTCAAAATTAATGTGATGACTTAAGGAAGAATGGAAATTAAAATGAGTATAGAGAAGAAGAGTATAGAATATAGAGAAAATGAGTATAGAGAATAATTCATAATTAATATGATGAATTAAAGAAAATGAAATAAGTATAGAGAACAAATTTCTGAGACTGATAATTCAAAATTAACATGATGAATTAAGGAAGAATGAAAATTGAAATGAGTATAGAGAATAATTCAAAATTAATATGATGAATTAAGGAAAATGAAAATTAAAGTATAGAGAAGAAATTCAAAATTTCTGATACTGGTAATTCAAAGTTAATATGATGAATTAAGGAAAAATGAAAATTAAAATGAATATAAAGTATAGAGAAAATGAGTATAGAAAAAATGAGTATAGAGAATAATTCAAAATTAACATGATGAATCAAGGAAAAATGGAAATATTCCAATAAGTGAAATTAATATTATTGGTATTAATGTTTCAATTAAAACATAAATCCCACGAAATCCTGTTAGATAAAAAACAGATTGATCCATAGATTCTGCATTTTTATATTCAATTATTAAATAATAGAAAAATATAATCCTATAAGAACCGTATATAATAATATTTTTATTCTTTTAGAAAAATCACTGCTTAAGAAATATAAATATCTTAAAGTAATAAAAAATCCTGAAGTAATTAAAGCAAGTGTACTTAACAATTAAATTTACAATTAAATACTTTAATTATTTTTGGAGTCATAATATATTAATTTCAATTGATGGAGAAATAATTATATAGAGAAGAAATGGAAAAACCAATGACACCCTGATGTGTTATAATTTCTAGTTTAATTACAGTTTATCAATTATCCTTTGATGCTTTGATGCTCTAACAAATTAATTATGATAACTATATACATGTCAGCTACGTAACAGCTATAATCTGTTCGATTATGATCAGAATTTATGATTCATTCTAATTAATCACATTTTGCACTAACCTCATTTTGATATTCCTCCTCCTACGTTCGACCTGTGCTGCAAACTAGTACAATTAATACACCTTTCTACCTAACCTAAACCTAACCTAAATCTTTCTATCTGGCGATACATATCTTGCGCGATATCTGTCACAGTAATTAATTGATATCTCGACATTCAAACGTACGTACGTACGTTTCAATATTAATTCTTATTATATAAGTAACGTATATGCAAACCTCGATAACTGGAACGAGTAAAAATGCAGTCACCGGGCTATTTCGCAATCTGTAATGGCTAACTATTAAGACAGGATACGTCACATTCCTACATTTCCCGCTCGATCTTTACGCATATGTTTTCATTCATTATCGTTGCGTACCCACGGTAGGTATTCGTATTTTCAAAGCCTCCGAGCGCATTTTTTCCACCACGGATGTTTGTTTTCCTCATTAAAGATGCAAATAGGTCTGACAACTACGTTCGAATGCAACGCGATGCTTTGCCATCATGATAACTACATATTTAGCTGCGAAACTATGCTCGAATTTAAAATCAACCTTGCGATGGCAAAACTCGTTATGTGGAAAAAATTATGTAGAGAAATCTATCGTGCATCATTACTCACGCATGTGCAACGCCAATATATAGTCAAAGCCAACTTCTCAACTGGGGAAACCAGTTTTGTCGCACATTGTGCACAGTCATTTGTGTGTACATTTCACGAGATGAACAAAGACGGAGGATACTACTTCCTAGGAAATTTTCATGGTGAAGATGCAATATGTAGATAGAATTGGGGGGCCAAGAAAGTGTGCTGTGACTGGAAAGAGAAAGTTCATGTAAAATGAGACGGTGAATTTGAAACAGAATTTTCTACCTCCGTGCTGCGAACGTGTTTCGATGGAGAATCGAGCGGCGTGTTATACTTTTAAGACCGAGATGCTGTGATTTTCTCTCCTTCTCAAGGACGCACGATGGAAAGAAAGAGAGAAAAAAAAATAATATCGGACGACAAGTAAATTCAAAGTATTATCGCCGTGAAGAAAAAACTGGAATCTTTAAACATTTGGAATGATTCAATAATGTAACGAAATCTCGTAATTATAAAATTCCACTAAAATAGACTGTTTCTACTTTCTACTAGGTATTTGGTTATTGTCCAATGATACCCTTCAGACCTGTAATCGAACCTGTCCACCCTGGTGCTTTCTTGACGGAAGATCCCGCATTTTCGACCAAGCATGGACGTTTGTTAGATATACCGTGGATGACAGGGCTTACGTCCCAGGAAGGAGCTCTCATAGCACCAGGTACTGTGCATTTTTAAACCCCAACCACGCCAAATAACGTATAATAATATAATAATTAGATGATAATAATATAAAATATATAATATAATTTACTATTAATATAATATATAATTTAATATAATGATGTACACTATATATTAATAATTATACAATATGTTAGTTATTAATATATCATATTAAAACATCAAGATGTTAGTTACTAATATATCATATTACAATATATCATATTAATATATCATATGCAATATATAATTTAATATAATAATATATAATATAATATATCAATAATTATATAATATGTTAGTTATTGGTATATCATACTACAATATCATATTAATATATCATATACATATAATTTAATGTAGTATATGATCTATTAATAATTATATGATATGTTAGTTATTGATATATCATACTACAATATCATATTAATATATCATATACAACATATAATTTAAT